TAATAAATACCTTGCCTTTCTATCCCCAGGGTTGTTGTGAAGATCTTATGAGATATGGAACTGTAATTTTTGTGAACTATCACATGCCATACAAATGTTAGGCATCATTATTACTGTAAGTGACTAGGTGATTTGTATCTGAAAGCCCCTTATTTTCTTTTGATTCTTTGTTAACAATAACTGTCTAATTAATACGTTATAAGATTAGATAATAAAAAACAACTACAGAGAAGTTTAGCATATAGCATGATCTTCCTACATTCTCCTATGTTACATAGGAATTCCTGGGAATAAGAAAATCTTATCCAGTTAATGTCTTATAGTTATATCCTTGAATACATGCTCATCAATTTAGCAGACAAATAAGGTACTATATATTCCATAAATAAAGCCGATTACTATTTTATAATCTCAATTTTATAAGTCAATATTTCCTCTGTTTAGCAATGCAGGAGTTGGCAAACTATGTCCCATGGAATGAATCTGGCCACCACCTACTTTGGCATGGCCTGCAAACTAAGAGTTTTAACATTTTGAAATAGCTTTTTTAATTGAAAGAACAATATGACATATGAAAATTATATGAAATTAAAACTTCAATGTCTATTTATTGGAACACAGCCACATGCATTTGTATATGTACTATCTATGGCTGCTATGGCAGTTGAGTAGTTGTGAGAAAAACTGCATGGTCCACAAAGCCTGAAGTATTTATTCTCTGCCCGTTTACAGAAAGTTTGCCTATCTCTAAAATAGAGGATTCAAGGGGACAAATAAAAACTTTTTTCTAGGTTACTAGCTTTCTCTTAGGATAAATAAACCTGGAATGTATGGACTCAAATTATGCATATGCAATAAGAGGAATTTAAGGTTATGATTTTAATATGCAATGACTAGTTTTGACCCAATTTAAAAATTTGTATGTAGAAAATATAATAAATATAAATAGAATACAATAAATTTTTTAAAAATTTTCCATTTTGCTCAATGTTGGTGGTAAAGACAATAGGGAGTATAATTCTCTGATTAACACAATAGAATCTGACTCTGGCTACGGAAGAAAGAGAGTTTATTGGAACAAAGATTCTTGAGCAGTTCCAGAATTGAGGGAAAAACTGGAGATCATGACTTTTGGAAGGACAGGAAACTGGAAAACTTCTAGGCCTTCTCCCAGGGCACTTCTACAAGGCTTCTAGAGCCTTCCATTTGAATTTTGGGGAAAAATAAACTAACGGGCCCAGTTTATGGCCCAGTAGCCAAAGAGATGGAGTAATACGATTGGGAGGCTCACTGGAATCCCATGGTTGGAATGGAGAAAGAACAAAGGGGAAGAAAGGAGGGAGAAGGGATGCCAGGCAGACAAGTACCAATAGATGTACTCACAGGGAGTTTGTCAGGAAACATGGACTTTAATCCTAACTTTAGCACCAAGTGGATGAATGTAATAAGTCATCTCCTTCGGCTCCAGTTAGGGGTACTCCCAGGATATGTTAGTATAAAAGCAGGGATACAATTAGATCCACTTACCATAAAGCTACTTATTGGCCACAGTATGTAAAACTCATCCTCAGAACAATATTTTTATCCTCAGAACAATATTTTTATTGTTAAGTTAAATAACAATATCTTTCCAAGAATCAAATTAAAAGATAATTGTCCGCTATCCCTTCATTCAACACTGCACTAGAGTTTCAGCCAGCACAATAAGACAAGAAAGAAAAAAGACATAAGGAATGTAAAGGAAGAAAAAAGTTATCATTTTTTACAATGTGATCGTATACATATAATATTCAAAAGAATCTATAAACTATTACAATTAGTGAGTGAATTGAGTTATGTCACTGGATGAGGATCAGTATAAAAAAATTAATTTCTATACCAGCGACACAATAACAAAAATAAATGAAAAATTTAAATGCCACTATTTACAACATCAAAAAACATTAAATATGTAGGAGTAAATAAAATGAAAGATGTGTAGCCAAATTCATCAAATTATCTATAGATTAATGCAATCCCAATGAAGGTCTCAGAAGATTTTTTTTAGTGGAAATTGACAAACTGATTCTAACATTTATAAAGAAATGCAAAAGGTAAAGAATAGCTGAGGTAATTTTGCAGAAGAAAAACAAAGCTGAAGGATTTATGCAACTAGATATCAAAACTGGTAGGGTGACCAACTGTCTTCATTTGACAGGGATTGGGCAGTTTCCTAGGACATATAGTTCTGCTTTAAACCCCAGAAAGTTACATATATCAAATCATTATGTTGTACACCTTCGACCAATACAATGTCATGTGTCAGTTATTTCTCATTCAAACTGAGGTGAGGAGGAATCAAAATGTACTGGGAAAAACAGAACAAGTCAGTCAACCTAAGACTTAGTATAGAGCTATAGTTATTAAGGCAGTGTGATATTGGCACAACTATGAACAACTAAACCAATAAAAGAGAACAGAGAGATCAGAAATAGACCCATTCACGTTTTGTCATTTGACTATGCTAAAAATGGCACAGCGGTAGTCCATTTGGGAAAGGATGGTCATTTCCATAAACGATGCTGGGTAATTGGCTATCCATATTAAAAACAAACTTAAGTCCTAACTTATAACACAAAAAATAAACTCCAGGTGAATCATATGTCTAAGTATGAAAAGTAAAATAATAAAGATTTTAGGAAGAAAATAGAATATCTATATGACTGTGTTATGGAAAGATTTCCTAAGTAAGACACAGAATATGCTAAAATAAAGGGAAAAAATTGATAATTGGACTAAATTAAATTTAAATGTTTGTATTCATTAAAAAATATCTTTAAGAAAGTAGAAAAGCAAGCCAAAGAGTAGAAGACATATGTGACAATATGTTTATATATTATACATTATATATAATTATATGTATTAAATATAATTCATACATAAAATTAGATGTACAAATGCAAATATATGTTTATGTTATATAAATATATTTGTATTAAAATATAAAATATATAATATATCTTATCTATAAATTACATATATCTTTTACTCTATATGTGTGTATCTAGATCAATATCTACATCTGAACCTACATATATCATTTGTTAGATAAATATCTGACGAACTCATGTAGAATATAAAAACAATTCCCATAAATCAATAAGAAAAAGACCTATGAAATGGTGCTTGACTTCATTAGTCACCAGAGAGATTCAAGTTAAAATCACTATGAGATAATACTCTATATCCAATACGATAGCTAAAGTGAGAAAGACAGGCAATACCAAGTGCTGGTAAGGGGCAACTAGAACTTCCACACATTGTTAAAACAATATCAACTGGTACAACCGTTCCGGGAATGTCTACTAAAGATGAACACACTCATACTCCAAGACCTAAAGAATCCACTTCTAGGTATCTAACATACATTTTCCTTAATGGGTTTAGAGTTAAGGTCACAAATTCAAATGCATACCAAGAGAGGTCAGGCAAGTCATACCAATTGCTGACCAGAAGGGCACTTTCAGTGGAAGTGATTTAAGCATATATGCTGGACACTTTGGCATCGGTGCCCTTCAATTTCATTTACTTTCCTCTGGAAACAGCCCCTGCTGCCATATCTAGACCTCAAGGTTCTGCCTTTCTTTCTCAGTGGCTGCTTGCTCTGGGTAGACACCTTACCCATGCCAGGTGCCATGGCTGGAGTTGGTGCCCTGCCCAGATCCCCTTGCGGGGGCAGTGCACCATCCCTCAGCTGCTGTGAATGTTGCCTGCAAGCAGCTCACAACTGCCCTCTTCTCTTGAATCACTTTGGCCCAAAATGCTTGAGAAACTGCTCTCCCCTGGAGGCAGCCCACACCCAATAACTGATGGAAATGGGGGTTCAAAAACCAGGCTCCATTGCTTCAAGAGGAGATAGCTGCAATATCATTTGCTCTCCAGACCCCACTGTGGGGCCAGACTGAGGCTAGACTTGCCAGGCTAGACTTCCGCTACATCTTGCTTTCTCCCACAAGCACTCCCCCATAAATCACTTGTGCCAGATCCTTCTGCTTCCAAGGAACCCAAGCAAAATCATAGAGACCATAAGATCTTTCCCCAAAGAGTTGGCAAGCCTAGGCACTGAAACCATCATATCAATGGCAACACAACCATGGACTGTGGAACTCCATTTCTTCCCTTACCGAGTTGTGCTTACTGGCTTTCCTTTGATTTCGTAAAAGCCCCCAGGAGCTTTCCAGTAATTCCCCTTTTGTTTAAAGTCAGCCCAAGTCCATTTCTCATCCCTGAAACCAGTATAACCTTAACTAATATGATAGGCGATCCAGGCCTGACCTGACATAGCTCTGGAGATATGACTCAATGTTTGGTGGGGTAACATCAGTTGGAATCCTGAGGGGAAAAGTTAATTTTAATTGATTACTCTCCTATTCCTTTGGCATCAGTGGCTAGAATCCTTCAGGAATTCGCCTTGCTGAGGAGCTAATTTGTTACCCAGAGCTCTTTACCTGAGACCTTCTCCATTCCCTTGAGGCAAAGAAAGTTAAATTCCTTCCACTGATAATCATCCTCTTACATCTCTTTGTTTCCAGGCCTGTTCAGGAAGGCTCTAGAATCTCTCTGAGGCTTCTTATTCCTAAAATGTACTTTTCTCCATCCTCTTATTCTCTCCGTGTGTGTGCACGCATGTTAAGTGTGTCTGCACACGTGTGGGAAAAGCAGGAGTGAGGGGATGGGGGAGTCACAGGAGGGTGCTCAGATTTCAACTCACTCAACTATGGGTTATAACAAAAGGGTGACACGACACAAGCCTGGTTAGTTCCACTCAGAATTATTCACTGATTTGTCAGAAAATCGATCCTTCCGGCCCAGACTTTTCTCTCTCAGCTTTTGTTGAAGCCCGTGCTTGTGCCTCTACAGCAATTTTATGTAGTTTAGCCCAAGACAAGTTTCATCCCAAGCCCAATGTGGAAGATGGCAGGATAATATTTTAGGGCAGTAACCTACATTCTGTTTTCCAGCGGACATGGCCTCCTCTCTCCTTCCTCCATTCAGGCAGACGTGCGACAGGGGAGACATGCTACAGAGTGGAGGCTAAATGTTGACGAGTATTTCCGGCTTCTTCCTAATGACAGGTAGGTACCATAAACTGACGATGGTCCACTGACCTTAGGGCACCCACAGATGAGGTTTGGCCCACACACGACTTTTTAAAAGTTCAATGTTGGCCAGTTTACCACAGTCCCCAACACTCCCTATTGTCTATTACAGTTGACATTACCTTCTGTGTGCACCTCTCTATGCACCAGGCCGAAACTCATCATGGAAGATGATGTTAGGTTCCCCAAGAAGCAAACGTTCTCCTCTCTGAGGAAGAGGCAGGAAGACTCAGAGGGGAAGGTTTCCTTCGGAGGAGGGAGAGCCTGGGGTTATAGTCGATAATGAGCCAGCATCTACTCTTAGCATCATGGAGAATAGGAAGCAGTAGATTCCACAGTTCAATTCTGGACTCCGGGGACTGGATCCCACTTGGGTCCAAATGCCTGAGGAGGTGGGGGAGCTACAGAAGGGGCTGTGTTGAAGGAGCAGTATTCCCAAGATAGGAGAGAGAAAGAGGGGTGTATGTGAGGGCCTAAAGTCACAGTGAGGAAATGCTCCCTCCCAACCACCCTTTAACTGTCCTTCCCCTTTCCCACGTGATTCATCCACTGAACAGATATTAAGTGTCCATTATGTGTCAGGCATTGTCCTAGGGGCTGGGGATACAGCACTGAACAGACTTGTGGAACTCATATTGTGCAGAGTAAATCTCCCTCCTTCCTTCCCTCCCTCCCTCCCTCTCCCTCTCCCTCTCCCCACCCACTGTCTCTCTCTCCATCTCCTCATCCAGATTCTGGAAGGTCTCATACCTTCAAGAAAGAGGTTGGAAACGGAGACCCCGAGGAGTGAGTAATCTTCTCCCTGCCTTGTAACCGTTTGCTGACTCTCTGATCCCCAACGAGAATATAAGGTCCAGTAGGGCAGGGACTGCATCTCTTTGGTCACTGCTGTGTCCCAAGTAGTGCCTTGAGAAGTGCCTGGAACATCATAGATTCTCGATACCTGCTTGTTGAATGAATGAATGAATGAGTGAATGAATGACCAGCCAAGTAGTTAGGGACAGAGTTGGCCTCAGATGCCACATGTCTTGAATCCCTGTCCAGGCTCTTTCCAAAATTATAGGTTAGCAGAGGGAAAGTCAGCATTTTTCACAAGGGCTTGTAACCAAAAACTAAGAGGGGAAAAAAAGCATAATAGGATATTCAATGACAGGAATAGTTTTAAAAGCACATATGACCATGGCAGAAGTCTAGAAGAGCCTGACCTAGTGGAGGCAGCCTTGAGCTTTGTGCAATTCATTCTCACCTAGGAATAGACATATTCCAGGGGTAAAGGGCTCCCCAGGGAAAGTGTCCCACTTACCCAGAGCGCTCACTCTCTTGATATCCTCTTCCTCCACCCAACATGGAGCCAGTCTCTCTGCTGTTACCTGGCCTATGGTGGGGTGCTTAGCAAACCTACAAATTAAGAGCCTCAGTAATTGGCTCTAAGGAGTTTACAGACTTTGGGGGAAGACAACATATGTGCTTCTGAAACTTCAAAGCACAATGATGGCTATGACAGTGATTTCTCTGCACACAATTTAAATGACAACCTTAGGCAGGACAGATAGGTGAGAGGCCACCATGAGAGAAGACAGTAATGTGGGTCTGAGGCTTGACAGAAGGGAAGGGAGGCTCCTGCTCAGCATCCCTTCCTCCTCCTTTTGATTGCAGCCCCAACCCACTACACAGTCTTGGTGGGATTATCAGTTCAAGTGCTACAGCCAAAGGGTATGTGTGACTGAGTAACC